TGCCGGAAAGCCTTCATCTTTTTGGTAAATCGGATGTAGTTTTACGCCTTCTCAGAGAAACGTTTCTTCCGATTTGTAGCTTACAAAGCTTGGATTTTGCCTGCAGATTGGGGGGCAGTCGACGCGAATTGAGAGGCAACCCAAGTCGCGTTCTGCGAAATGAGCTGCTTTCCTTGTTTCTCGAAGAAGAACGTCGCTGAGGAGGATCTTTCTCCGGTCGCACGTGTCGTCAAGGATAATGAGCTGAAGCCTGGTGAGTTCTAGTTTCTTCTTCTTCATCATCCACGTTCTTGATAGCCTAACCTTGTTAACCTGTGTTCGTGCAATTATGTCTCGAACTAAGGATTGCATGTTCTTTTTCTTCTTTTCTATTTTGTGTTTGCTGTCGCTTTTTCATGCTCTCAGTGAAAACAGAACCAAATTACTGCCTGACAGATGACCCAATCTCAAATCATCAATAATCTATTTAGATACCTTTGCGAATTTAATTATCTAACAGCTGAGGATTCAACTTCCTGAAATTTAAGATGCTAATTGCACATTTCTCGAGGTGCTTTATTTTGTTCCAAATGTTGAAAATGATTCTCAAGTCAAATTGTGTTATACTCTGCTTTAAATGATCAAAGGATAGGCAAAGTGAGAACTACAACAAGCTTTCATCATGTGTGTCAAAGTATGCAAATTGCAAACATGAAACTGTCGTCTATTTGGCTTTCTTTTATAATGAGATTCATTAAACATTTTCTGATGAAGTTAAAAGCTCAATCTCTGACTTAACTGGAATCATGAACCATTTTAGAAAGCAAGTCGTATTTGGAACAAATTTCTTTTTTGCTCCCAAGTCCAAACTCTTGGTACATTTAAGTGAAAATTAAATATGTTCTTTATGTTGGATTGCTACATAGCAGTATAAATGTCATGCCAACTCCAATCTTGGTATTTTTTTTCTCTCCTTATTAGCTGTGCTTGTGTTTATCTAGATTCATTTTTAAGGCCAAATAGCTTGATAAAACTCTGTGAGGGTTGCAAAGAATTGACTTAGATTATGAGTAGGTGATGGCAAGCAATTGCTTATCAAGGCTGGTCAAGAAATTGGAAAGCTGTGTTAACTACTTCATGACTGACTGTCCTGCTTACATCCAATGGCTGTAATCTATTACTCTTGCATGGATAAACTTGCAACTTAATAGCATCTCCAGTTAGGAAAATTATGTCATTTTTTATGATTGGTGGATGTCAAAGATATACTCTGCGGTTTGGAATAACAAGTCGATGCATGGGCTGAATCTTTGACTTCGATAGGCCTTGTGACAAAAATTATGTTGGTATTCTCTAGTCAAAAAATATTTTTTTTTTCTGATTCTTCTTTCTACGAGTGAGTCATGTGATTCGTATGATAATTTGTTGTAGTAAAGTTTTTTTCCAACAAAAATCAGAATAAATTATATTGCAATCATGGAACTACAACCTACATCATTTGCATCCAAACGGACTAAAATTTCCAACTCCATAATCAAAATTTGTTATAGCGAATTTGAAGTAGTAGCTAGCATACAATGAGACTAAGGTATTGGAATTTAGATTGGTTTCGAACTTTTTGTTTACCTTTTTAAGGAAATAGATTCGTTTTAACCTACAAGAGATCTAAACTATCAACCAAGTGAGCACGATTAAGTCTAGAACTCAGTATGCACAAGAAACTTTTTGGTGAATAACATCATGTCTGTAATTATAGCAATCAATGTGGATCAAAAAGTACTAGAGTAGAATGTGGTTGAAATAGGACTGCAGAAACTATTCAGAAGTTGTCTTTTTCCTCTTCCAACTTTGCCTTCAATTGCTTCAATTTCTTGCTAAAGTTCTCTGTATTTACATAAATAATTGTATTTTATATGCAACATTAAGACACTTCCATTCTTAACTGCTGCATGTTTTTGAGAAGAGCAGAAGGATAACAGGATCTATTTGGTATGATACCTTTGAGCGCCCAAATATGTTGCAATTTTATTCTAGCATCGTCTTGTTTAGGCTCCATTCGTGCATTCTGGCATTGGTCAGATATTTCTCCATTTTCATACTTGTAGAAAGCCATCTGTTACTGCTCATCCTTCTTATAGATTTACTGCCAAACTTCTCCTTTGTGCAGATTTTCAGGCACAAAAACCCTCCAAAAAAGAAACTCAAGATGTTGGAAATGGAAATATTGCAGCACGGACATTCACATTCCGTGAGCTTGCTTCGGCGACCAATAATTTTCTACCTGAATGCCTCTTGGGCGAAGGAGGATTCGGTAGAGTTTACAAGGGTTCCCTTGAGAACACTGGACAGGTAAATCAAGTGAAATATACTTTTCAATCTCTAACTTCTTTTGACATTTTTAAGATACCTCTTAATTTGTGTGATATGGTCAGATTGTAGCTGTTAAACAGCTAGACAGGAATGGCTTCCAAGGCAACAAAGAATTTGTTGTTGAAGTGTTGATGCTCAGTCTTCTGCATCATCAAAATCTGGTCAAGCTTATTGGATACTGCGCCGACGGTGATCAAAGGCTTTTGGTCTATGAATATATGACCATGGGCTCCTTGGAAGACCACCTTGTAGGTACTGTCACAAGAACAGCTTGGTTTATGTCTTTCTACCATGCACATCATCCTGCCACACTCTTCTTCGTGGCATTTGCTTATTGCATGATTTCTTTGATGCAAATTGTGCGGTAGGCTCCTAGAATTTATGCAATGTTTATCTTCGACCATAACTTGATAAGCAAACCTTCTCACCAGCAAACTACTTTGCAATATTTGGAATTTAATTGTTTATTTTTCGTGTTTCCAGATGTCTCAGCTAATCAGAAACCTCTAAGCTGGTACACTAGGATGAAGATAGCATATGGTGCCGCTCAAGGTCTGGAGTACTTGCATGAGAAGGCCAACCCACCTGTGATCTTCCGCGATCTTAAATCATCCAACATTCTACTTGATGTAGATTTCAACGCAAAACTCTCGGATTTCGGGCTTGCCAAGCTCGGTCCCATAGGGGATAAAGTCCATGTTTCTTCCAGGGTGATGGGCACATATGGCTACTGTGCACCTGAGTATGCAAGAACAGGCCACCTTTCTTTGAAGTCAGATGTCTACAGTTTCGGAGTGGTCATGCTCGAGTTGATCACGGGGAGGAGGGCGATTGACACAAGCAAGCCAACGAACGAACAGAACCTCGTTGCTTGGGTACGAAATCATCAAGCCTTTTCCTTTTCCCTGCAGGAACAACTATAGCTGACCGACGTGGATCCTTTAAAGTAGCTGCTTACTTTAAGGATCATTCTTCTAACATTGATTAGTTCAGCTTCATGTTGGTGTAACTCCCACTTGTTTCTCAGGCATTGCCCATGTTTAGAGACCAGAAGAGGTTCCATGAGCTGGTTGATCCACTTCTACAAGGTGACTATCCGGCGAAGGGCTTGAGCCAAGCAGTTGCAGTCGCTGCGATGTGTCTCCAAGAAGAGGCTTCAGTTCGCCCGTTGATGGCTGATGTAGTTATGACACTAAGCTTTCTTACGGAGGAAGTAGTCCCTGCGCCATCATTCGGCTTCCCACCACCAGAAGATAGTACAAAGTAATCCGGTCAAAGCTGATGAGAAATTGCGCCGAGGATTGGGATTGGAGACCATGGGAGTGGTGTTCTTCCAAATCAAGGCATTAGCATGAGTCCTACAATGAGAAAGTGAGCCGTGGTATGGATTTCTCAAGGTTGCTACTTTTGTCTGTGTTCATAACCTCTCTCTTTCACCATATGTAACACGAGAGAGCATATATAAGATTTCAGGGTATGTGTGGCAAATCATGACTCTCTAATGCACCTTCCTTGTTGGATCTCTAAATAGCCATAAAACCAGCAAGACACTTGTATTAGGCTCTGTGAGTGGCCATCAACAGAGAGTGATGTGACAGGTGATTTAAATTAGTCCTCCAGATGAAAATACTAAATTGGGATCAACCTGTTGCACTATGCTGCTACAATATTCTGAAGCAATGAAATCTTTTAATCCTGTTAAAGCCAACCATTGAGAGTTTTCAGCAACTGTCAGTCCACAAGTAGATGATGAAGCCCCTCTCTCTCTCTCTCTCTCTCTCTCAAATCTGGAAAGGATCAATAGCAACACAAGCCATCATCTTACAAAAAAATTGAGTAAGGTATTACTGTTTTTGCTAATAAACAATGCATCGTTATGAGCCTTCCAAATCAATTAGAAAACATACGCTATAATAACCTATATGGATCAAGGTTAACATTTACATTTTTAATATACGTGTGAGGAAAAGGATTTGAGTAAATGTACAATTGTGGAACGCCAGATAATAGATGAAAAATATATTTTAGATATACATTGACGTAATGTTATTTGATAAAATTATATTTTAAAAATTTATTGAAATTTTATGATAAATTTATCCTTTTAATATTTATTCAAATGTGAATACATATTTTTTATTTAAATTAATAAGTATAAAATAAAATAAATAAATGAATGTAAGTAATCTTATAATAATTTCATATGGCCCAAATATATAATAAATACAAATATAATCATATATATATATATAATAATCTTTAAATATAAATAAAATAAAAATGCACCTTTATAGAAAGTATAAATCATATTGATTTTTCACTAAATCATTTTGACAACTTTATAATTTTAGATAAAATCACAATATATTTTTAAAATTCAAAAATTTATATTAGCATCTTCCAAATTAATGCTATCCTGAGATAACATCAGCATCTTAGCCAAATGTGATTTGAAAAAAAAAAAATTCAAGTACCAATTTATATTTATTCCTTAAGGTACATTTCAAATATGTTCCCAAACACTTTATATCCAATTTATGCTAGAAAATCTCAAAAACTGATCGAAGATAATCAAAGAAACTATAAGATAATTCATCCATTGAAATACCACACAACAAGGCCTAGTGTCCACGATATCAAATGCAACAATATAATGAGAAGTAGGCAGCTTAGAATGAAACAATTTATAGCAAAAACAAGCCACACGGGGAACAGTTGCAGTCAGATTTACATGGCTCGTTCTTGACATCGAAACAACTATCTTATTTGAAGCCAAATGTCAGTATGACTTCTTGTGAGGTATTGAAAATAGTCTCCATATTACATATTATCACCATCACGATACCTCAATCCCTTTCTATCCTACTCATTATCAACTTCGTGTTGCTCATCTTACATTTCTTCCTCAACCACTATTTGAGTATAAGCAACAAGAACCCGCATCGCAACTCCTGAAAGAAAACTGATTATACACAAAGACATGGTTCCTGATATATTTACACGTTCGGGACACATGTATGTGTGTTTACTGGTGTGGTAAAATTGGGATACCCAAGTAGAAGACACAGCAACAGGTTATTTGCCTATGAAACCTTAATAGATTCACTTGTATGAGAAGGAAATCCATTCGTGCTCTAGTGCTTCTCTTGCTGTTGGTCTCCCCCTAGGGTTTATTTGGAGTAAGTAAGAAAGGAAATCAATAAACTTGGCATCACAATCTTGCAGTTGATGTGACAATGAGGACCTCTCTGGTATTAGATACTCTTCTTGGTCAGTTTCCTGTCAAAGATTTGGCGATAGAAAAAGAAATAAATAGTTTTAATAAAGCAAATCAGAATTTGTATGTTTCAGAGTACATAAAATGGCAAGTGAGAATTCACATCAACAATTGGTTGCAATTCCTTGAGAAGCAAAAACGAAGATGCTTATCATACATTGTTTGAAACTGATTTGTGTCAACCAACAGAATACAGGCATTTGATGGTGAATTAAAAAAAAAAAAGAAAATCATTCACCAAGACTTCACATGAAAAATCTTACAACTGGTAGTTTGGCATACTAAATTTTTTGTCACAAAATAGTATTTCTCATATGAAACTTCTACAAGCAAATTTCTATTCAGCATGTTGATAGTTGAAATGGCATGAAAAACATTAAAACCATAAAAGTTTGTATATTGCAGATAATACCGAATGCACTTGCGATGCAATCATAAACAAGCAGGGAGCTGGAGGGCATTTGACCAACATGTGATGCCACCAGTTTGATTTTGTAGGAAAGAGATATTGAGTGTTCTGCCACCACAAGATGGTTTGTATAACATCTAGCATCTAAAACCTATACAAATTTCCTCCACTTGTACTATGCTAGTTGAACCAAACAAGTCTACCGCTATCAGATGCTCACCTTAAGTAACATTTAACTATTTGAGTGACTAAAAGAAATTATGAAGGTCCTCCAATCAGATGTATGGAGATGCAATTATCACAAATCTAAGGCCAAGTACCAAAAGGAGAGATTTCTGTAACTATCCTGATGTGCATTTAAGTTCGATCATTATTCACTGCTCACCTTCTTCAATATCATTATGTACCCAAGAAAGGTATTTTTGCACCTACACACATCGGACCTCCTTCATGGGAATGTCCGATCTTTAATTTCATTAATTCCCTTTTTTTCTCTTTTTTTTTCAAATTATATTTTATTAATTTGCTTTTTTTTCTCATAGTCTCAGATAAATCCAGTGAATCGCATCGATGTATATAGGTTTCAGCTACTTTTTGTCATCCTTGGTAACAAATTTTGATATACGTTCCAACCTTGATACCACCAGGAGAGAGTGAAATTAGCCAAACCAGGGTTGTATATATGTATTATGTAGTATGTACACATGTACATAGCAGGTATAATTCACTTCCGTAGAATATACTAGTGGCACACCAAGGGTGATCCTCTACAACTTGCAAGGTTGCAAGAAAACAAACTATCCAACAATTGATTTAAGTTTGAGTGAATTAGTGCAAGTAGAAATGCTTATGTCAAAAGTAGGAACAAAAAAGCGACACTAACCTTGTTTCTGTGATAAAGGTCACAATTTTCAGTGAAGTATTTACTAGTTTCGCGACCTAGTGCAAGCATCTCCTCATCAATCGGACCAAGTATCCCAATAATGCGAGCAAGTATCATGGTGACCGAGTCATTTGGAAATAGCACCTGATGTAGCAGAGAAGTTCTAGATCATAACCTGTTCTGTGTACATTGATATAGTTTAAGCATGAAAAATTATAAGATGTTTCCTAGCAGCTCGCAAAAAAGTATAGGTTTCTCTGAAATTCTCAAGGAATTATTCATATATTCAGCACATTAATGAATAATGATTTAGCAAACTATCTAGTAGGGGAAAACATGGAAAATAATGCTAAATTAAAACATTGAGCACTAGGCGTGTGTTATCAATTTAATCTGTCAATTTGTTAAACATTAACAACTTGTCCCAGACCAGCAGTTTTGAGCTTCTTGCAGTTGAAGATATCTGTGTGTTTAACAATCTTTGACAGTCATATACCTAGAATTGATTGGAAAAGCTAGATTGCAGGACTTATATTTACAAAGAAAGATGTTTGGATGCTTTTGAGTCTACCATTTCCAATTAGAACTTTCTTAGCTAATTACTAAACAGCAATTAAGATTTAAGTGAATTAGAATTTAGGCATAATGATTCAGGATCTTTTTCTTAACAAAATGCTTAATAATGAGATAGAAAAGGTTTACAAAACATTGTGGGTAGATGATAGAAAAAACACTACCAACATGGTACAGTTGTTTCAGAAGAAAAGGTCTTTTTGGGACCTAAGGTCCACATTTAGGTAAAGATATCACATGTGATATCGCCTGTATTAGTTCCTTGACAACAGGTCTTTTACCAACCTATGATCAGATGTTGGCATCATGGTACTAAATATCACCTGTATTAGTCCATAGATGTATTTATCAGTCTGACAATGAACAATACACGGTACTAAATAATAGTAAATATCGCCTGTATCAGTCCATATATAGTACTAGACAGCTTTTCTCTTGTCTTGCGCTCCCTCATCTTTCTCATGCCACATGATGCCTAACATTTCTCCACCGGCCAGCCCATCCGCCCCATACTTCTCTGCTTCCTCTTCCATGCCTCCTCCTCCTTCACCACTACTCCTCCCATCCATCTCCTTTTCTTCTTCTCTTTTTCCTCCTCTTCCTCCTCTCGGTACTGCCTAGCATATTAGTATACTGTGCACCGTTCCACAAAATTTTTAACCATGATCAGTATTATTTGAAATAATAAAAAATAAAAAATTCAGATTAAATGATTTTTTTTATTTCAACCCATCTTTTACTCTTCAAAGGCCTCCATAAACCTTAGTTTTCTCCTATGCATATATGCCTTGGGTATTGACCTCCTAATTTGCAGCATTAATCCCTTTTCTTCATTACACAATGAAATCTATATTGAGGACTGAACAAAGAAGCTTAAAACAAGAATGTCTATCTGACTTAAAAGATTCTTATAAACAAGATTCTGCATTCCGAAGCCAATTACCTGCGGCAGAAGTCAGATAATTCACATCCTTAATAAATGGTGTAGAAAGCTAGTTCAGAAGTAACTAAATAAAGAGGGCAGCTCTCAACGATATAAAAAAGTAAAAATCATTTTCTGGTTCTTGTTAAAAAAGCATATTTTATAGATTTAAACCTAGAAATATAGGATCCAAACTTACATCACCAGTTTGAAGCTCAGCAAGGATGCAGCCTAGAGACCAGATATCAATCTTCTGATCATATGGGAGACCTAGGATAACTTCAGGCGCCCTATAAGAACGAGACTGTACATATAAGCATAAGTTGTCTGTCTCGAAGCAACTGCTTCCGAGGTCAATAACCTTGATTTCACATCTGCTATAACTCTTGATAAGAATATTCTCAGGCTTCAGATCACAATGAATTATCCTCAAATTGTGCAGGTACTCCAAGGCCTCTAGACATTGTCGAGCTATAGCCTGTAACAGAAGGATAATTCAATGTAATCCATCATTGAAAAAAATATAACAACTAATAATAAAAATGAGAGTTATTTAGATTCTAAAATGCTAATGACAACCTTAAGAGAAAAAAGGTGTTCCGATATTCACAAGTTCAGTCCTTGACCACATTTTGTCTTGAAATTGCTTGAATGAGGAGGATGTTAGTGACAGAAGGTATGGATTCTATGGTATTAATTCTATTATGCTATTAGACGAAACGACTGAAAGATGAAAACTATTTCAATTGCAGTGGATGCTAATTGTGCTTCCTGCATCATCATTAATTTCCATATGCTCCCTAATTATCATTAAATAGCTCAACACATTTTTCATGAACTATGATGAGTCAATCACATACCTGTATTCTAGGCAATGTATAATACACTTGACCACCAGATTCATGATTGTACTTCTGAAATTCAAACAGGTTAGCTCGTAGCAACTCCGTGACAATGAAAAGATGTTCCTGTAGCATTTTAAATGTGTGATGTAAGGATACATTCTTTATCAACTAGAACCAGGACATTATTATTATATGCTATTTCTTAAAAGTTGCAATCAGTTTTGACAAAAAAAGAACACATCCATATACAAAATACCAAGAAAACACAAGAAACAACTCATAAATGGTGGAGAAAGCACATCTTTATTGCTCGAAAGTTTTGGATATTTGAATACATATTTGGAGAATATATGAAAGAAAATACATAATGTCTTCAAAATATTAGAGGGGGAAGAGATTTTTCCCACCCAATCACTAGAAATAATCATTCTTACTTTTTTGGATCAAAACTCAAAAGTCACTAAGTTGATACATATTAATATAATACTATTCAAATATGAATTTTAAGTAATGATGTAATAATATGGACTTTTCACCAATGTAGCATCCTCAAAAGGAATTTATTGAGGATAGGTTGGGCTGGCATGTGGTAGCTATCTAATTCTTGCAGGAGACTCTTAGTTTACTGGACTAGCATTACTTTATGGTTTCTGTTCTACTGCAATTGGGGTCTCATTGTGTGAAGAGCTTGGTTTTTGGAGTCCAATATGTTTCAGGTCTAGATGAGAATCCGGAGAGCAAACAAGAGAATACAACCATTCATCTCAGTGCTTGGCATGATCCTTGCACATACTTTGCCTTGCATGCACTTATGGATAAGAAGAACCTTCTTTGCTGCAATAACTTTATATAGAGAAGTTTAAGGACTCCCATATTTTGGAATAAATATGACATGTTTACTCCCTTGCATCTGTTACTACTAAAATCATTTGTTACTTATTCGTATTACAAAGCCTCCTATTGTCATCATTTACAGTCTCTACATGACTTTATGCTGCCCTTGCAAGTGAGAAATGCACTGAAGCTTCCAGTGCTAATCAAAACTCGTTTTTGTTCCACCTCCACTGTGATGGATGTCGTGTCATTTATCTAAATTCTTTATGAGTTACAGATTTATCTGAATGAGATGGTCACTGGCAGTCTGTAATGCTTGCAATGCAAATCAAGTAAGATCATCTATGACAACAGAGTAATATGACATAGAGAACACACTGTTGATCAATCATCAGCATTAGCTACAAAGCAAATATAAACCAATGATCTGTACTGAATGAGGGGATTGGACAATGCTCAATGCAGATCAAGTAAAATCATCTATGGAAACAGATTGATTTGACATAAGAGTAAACCCCATCAATCAATCTGCAGCATTAGCTAAAAGGAAATATAAACTAATGATCTGTACTGAATCAAGAGACTGAAAACGAAACCTAGAAGGAACAAGGAAAAACAAGTGTTTGACATTGTACCGGTGATAACATATACAAAACAAAAAATGCATACCTGATGATAGAAGTAGTCATAAAGGCGTAATAGATGGCGTTCATCAGAAGGATCATGCTTATTAACAAATTTGAGGAGTTTAATTTCATCCAAACTCTGGTCAAAAAAATCCTTATCGTTCTTTATTATTTTAAGGCACACATCTATGCCTGTATGAAGATCACGTGCCTGGACAACATCGCTAAATGCAGCTGAACCAAGATATTCCATGATATAATATCTGCCTGCTATAACTGAATTCAAAACTATTGACAAATCTTTATTTTCTTCAAAACCAGTCCTGCAGTTGATTGCAAATAATATGTCAGCACAATGATTTTGTTTAATTTGCTTTCGCAAAAAGTTCCAAGAGGAAGTTGTGGATCTAAACCTGTTTTTCCGATGAACTATTCTCAAGTCAAATACTTCCATCTCATCCTCACAAGAATTGTAAAGTTGAAGCTCATCATCCATACCATCTTCTCCTTCAAGGCCAACAGCTCTAGAGTCCTCCAAGTCTCTACCAACTGTCCCATAATCCCCAAATCCATAAGGATAATTAACATCTTGTTTGGAAGCCTCCTCTTCAGATGGTGGCATACTATAAGATTCCTTTTGTAACTCTTCATCATCCATCTTGTTTACGAAGATTAGATTTCTGTTACATGAATCTCCTCTGAGATCTTTATTGTGTGTGGGATCATAGTCTGCATTCAAAGACAAACATCAATGAGGATGATACTTTCAAAAGTGCAACCACAAGTCACCATGGAACAGAAAAGAAATAAAAATCGTCCAGAATACATTCAGATGATCAATATGAGAGACTACGGAGTAGTTCTCACAGGACAAAAAAAGCAATGATCTCTGATCGAGATGCAGCAAAATTCAGGCATGCCAGAAGCACTGAACAGTAACAGCCTCATTAAAATGCAGACCAGTATAAATCATCTTTAAAGTTGTTACCCAGGAATTATATAATGAAACAAAACCAAGTCAAATAGGGAAGGAAGTTCCATTATTCATGACCAAGGTCTACTGATATGAGAGAATGGTCGCCTCATAAAGGTGAAATGAAAACACAAGAAGACCGTAGGAGACAGCACAATGAAGATCTTATACATGAGTCTTACAATAAACTGCAAATGAAGAAAAGAGAAAGCTCAGATCAAAGTCCACCGGTACAAGCAACCTTATTCAAGTTAGACAGAGAAATCAATCGTCATGCTTGCTTAAGCGATAAATAAAGCTTCTTAATACACCAATAAAGAGGATTACAAGTGATAAATAGAAGACTTACTCAAGCGGTTGCTATCATCAGCTGCATTATTGTCAAACATCTGCAATTCCTTGTCCGGCAGACCTGATTCTGAGCATTCCTTATCTTCGACTGGATTTCCATTGTGAAAGAAATCATGCTCCAGAACAGTTTCAGGCCGCTCATTTACCCTTATTGACTGGAACTCATCCCCCCCACATTCATCCAACATCTCCGTATGGTCATCCAATATCTGATAGCGGCCATAAATAGCGGAGCTCGAGCTCCTGATCATGTCGGCAACCTCTCCATTGTCATGCATCTTTGATCCACGGCAGCAATCACAAATAGGGAATGGACAACTGTAAATCTCAGCACAGCCCTCGCAACCTTCATCATCATGATCACTCGATGCAAAACCAAAAGTAGCTCGCTTGTTGAACTGCTCCTTCCCCTCTGTAGACAGGATGAACTTGTCCTGGCTATGCGATCGGCCAGGGTCACTCATCACGAGGAAGGGATCATTGTGACACCCTCCATACTGGTCGTCGTACCAGTAGTTGTTGTATTCTCGGGCGGTCCCAAATTCTGAATGCTGATCAGTTGACTCGTCATCCGATCTAGCCCGAGCGGGTGACCAGACTCCATAGGGATTCAAAAGCTCTGTTCCAAGAAATCCAAGTAAACCGAAAGGGCAGATTGACCAAAACTCGATTCAAGATTTAATCTTTAGCGAGTTGTCCAACAAAAAGATGGCCTTTTTTTAACAGTTTCCAATTGCCATTTTCTTTCTTAGGAAATCGACAAATTGGTGAAAAGGAATAAGAAAAAAAAGAAGGGTACTCGCTGAACAAAAAGGAGTGGTTTTCTAATTCCAGATATCATTAAGTTCTTGGTAAAAGATTCGGCTCTCTTATCGAGATGCCATCCCAAACAGCACGTCGGAGACCGAGGTAAGGTGGAGCAAATCATTCCCTGTGAAAGGAAAGGGAGACAACGGTCGCCGAGATCAAGAAACGACCCACGTACCGGAAGGGGACGAAGCAAGGCTGACGAACGCGTCGGAGGAGCTCGAGGTGGCGCTGGGAGGTGCACCCTCTCCGGCGCCGCCGCTGCCACGGGACTGCGGCGACAGCCTCAGAGGCGGCAGCCCGGATCCGACGTCGAGGTCAAGGTCGGTGGCGCCGTCGGGGGCGCAGCGGGAGAGGAGGTCGTCGCGGAGGGCTGAGGCGGCGGCGGAGAAGCCGCGTGCCGTCAGGAAGGCGATCACGTCCTCCACCCGCGGCGCCTCCATGGACGATGGCACTCGAAGCCGCGGAAGTATCCAAGCCGCATGCTACCTTCGAAGCGAAGAGGAGGAGGAGGAGGAGGAGGAGGAGGGAGGACCGGGTGGGTGGACAAGCGACCAAAGTCGAGCGGCGGGCCCCTCTCTGAGCGGGGGGATCGCCACGGTGGCCGACATCCCCTGCACCTCATGTTGCAGCGTTGGCGGGTCCAACCCTCCTCCCTCTGATTCCCAAGTATGGAAGGGTTTATGATCCGCCGCCACGTGTGCGTCTAGCACCGATAGCTGCAATCCGCATTGTAGGGGATCCGATTCCCTCGAGCGTCCATTGGCGCGGGCGGGCCCTGCATGCGGTGAGGCGGGGAAGGGTGAGTTGGTGGGGACGGGGTCTATTCTTTTTTTGTCCCAAAAAACGAAAAACCAAAACTCACCCTCTTTGCTCACCCAACTTGTGACCAGCTGAGGGAGCGACGGTGCCATGTTTTGGGCCCCGCGGAGCCTCTCTCGAATTCTATCGATTCACCGTAACCAAACGGAGAGTAGAATTGTGTCGGGGGCTTTTCCCAGCCGCTGATACTTCGCTTTCCATCTGATGCTCAACCGTCGTCGCCGCGTGGTCCGGTCACCGCCCGGTGCCACACGCAACCCACACGATATATATATATATATCGTGATCTCTTTTGCCAGACAAAAGTGAAATCCTTCAGAAATAATAACATACATAGTCTTTTGCCATTATTATTATTTTATTTGCCAAAAGGATATTTATTTTCATAAATGGAAAAGCTATTATTTTCATAAACTGTGCGCTGGATTTCTTCGTTATTAGTCGAACATTTGTCATGTCTTTTGAGGAAACAACAACCTTTTCGTGTTACGGTGGAGAGTTACATCTTACCAATCTAAGGACAAGTCAAGATCAAAGATAGAAAAGCATGAGCTTGCTAGGAATTCAGTGTGATCCAGCGATCAACATAATCTTCTTCTAAATCGTTCATTATTCAATCAAATTGACGGTGGTAAAAATGACACTTGCTGTCTACGCAATACTCAATAAAGTTTCCGTCTTCTGAACCACGCTGCAATGCGTGTCATGATCCAAAGATCTGAACTGGCACCCAATGGACTTGGACATCAAATCTAACAGACATTATTATCTTTGTCCTCGGGAATCCAAAAAGGGCATCTTCTTTCATCCTCGTAGATTTTAGGTGACGGCAGAAGCTGGTGCGTCGTCGGATTTGCATGAAAGAAAGGATGACTGTGTTCTTAGGGATAAGCCTCGCTCTGCTGATGATTCTGTACCACCACCTTGTGTTGTTTCATCCATAAACCCACCAGCCACGGGAGCACGCCCCTGCAAACATCATGATTCCTTGTGGGTCATCATGTGTTGCGTTGCGCGAGGGAACAGTTTGACTCCAAGAAGAGTTTAGCTATCTATCTATGTGAGAGAAGCATCGGCTTCCGGTTACATAGAACAGCTGGTTTAGCTGCTTTCATTGCCATGTCAGGAGACACTACCGAAGGGAAAAGAGTCCGCAAGGATGGATTCACTGGCTTCTTTTTCTAGTTTTGAGTAGGAATTATGTTGAGGAGCATAGTGTGCAAACTCATATCGACGGTGTCTCGCTCTTGGAGAGAGAAGAAGATCTGAGAAAGAGAGACACCTTTTCCCCACCCATAGAGAAAAGTGAAAGAGAGAAAAAGATGATACATAAAGGAAGAACTTTTCGGTGCTTTTTATTTTGTACCATCCATCTATCTATCTATCTCTTAGATTTCCGGTGACCTCTTTTAGTGTGACTATTTTGAATGAGCTCGTTGGTGCGGGGATTAATTTCCTTCACGAACGATGCTATCATAAAGAAGATGGACCTTTCTTCTTACACATGTTCTATTTCTGAATCCATGGTTAATGTTGCAGAGTCCAATGTCTTTTTTTAGATTAACTGTAGTTCCTCATTTATAAGCTAGTGGATAAACTTATTGTAACTTTACATATTGTTGTTATTGTTCACTTGTTAATTATTTTAAGAAAGATGTGGTTGGTGAATTACAAGTCATTTTCAATCTTCCCATTATGTGTCATTGTGTAAATCTAAGAAGAATTATTCATGAATAAGATCATCAAAAAAATAACTTTTGTTCTCCTAAGCAAAGAATAATGGGTAGTCTTATTTTCGGAATCGATGATTTTGATTTTCTAGAAACAGAATCGGAATTGACGATTCCAATTTTGGTACCAATTTGAATCGATAATTTTTTTAATTAAAATTTATAATATAATTTTTTATAATTTTATTTTTTAATTTAAAAATAGATTATACCTATAAAATAATGAGTGTAATGATATAAAAAATGATATTAAATTGAGTGAAATTGTAAATTTTAATCGCTTTTGATGTTGAACCATTTGATGATCCCTTCCGTTGATATGTCGAATACAAAGTCATTATCTATCTATTAGTTCGATTTAGTCGTCTTTTGTCCAATTGTTAATATATGTTTGAACTTTAATTAATTCAAAGGTCATGTTTAATCTAACTTTATATGAGATACATACTTCTACAATATAAGTTTGCCCCATAACTATCATCGATACTAGAATCGCTAATATTTGCCTTACGATCATCATCGTCAAAATTGAAAATTTTATTGTATATCATGCCACTATTTCAAAATAGGAAACTATGTCCTTGTAGTGCTGTCACTAAGCTCAAAGAAATTGTTAGATATATATATATATCAAGCTTTGAGTTTGAGCTTGATGATCTCCCTTTTTTTTTTTTACTTTGTAACCAAAGATTTGCTAACTTAATCCATAGATTAAAAAAGTTTAGGAGGTATCATATTATATACTATAGTTAGCACTGTAATGGTCATATAATTTAATGAACAATCTTTTAATTTCTCTAATTTTATCATCAATATTAACATCTATTCCTGAACTTTCATAATAAATAATTAAATAATCACTTAAGCCATCTAATCTAGTATGAGGATAAAAAACACAAGCAACTAAATAAATTAATAATTTTTTTAAAAAAATAATTTATCCATTTTAATTTCATAACCATTATAGACATATTTAAATCATTATCATATAGATATTCTTCTAAGCCACCAACTATATCAATATCAACAACTAAAAAAATATGGGTAGTAGGATACTAAACACTAGACAAAATATATTTTATATTATTAAAAACATTTAAATATTTTGGATATAAACTAACTTGTCTGACATTATTTATAATAAAAACACATAATAATTCGTTTATATTCAAAAGATATTTTAAATCATTCATATGTATGTTCAATTAGGTAGCAACATCCTAGGAAATCTTTTGGATCTTTTATCATTTAATTTATAAAATATGACTCACCCTTTCATTACTTATGGATGATCCTATAAGAATCAAATAGCTTACTAAATATGAGAAAAAAAACTTTAAAGAGATCTAAGATGTTAACTATGCCTAACATAAAAAAAGAAATGACTATAAGCAAGTTAATATACTTCTTGTAATTTTGGAATAGAAAACGATACTTATCGTTAAATTATCAAAATAAATGAAAAATTTTAAAAACCAAATAATATTTTTTTAAATTATTTTTATCATTATATAAATATTATCGATTGTATGTCATTCATCAAAAATTCTAAAAGTAATATTATTTTTTTAGCATAGTCTAATCAATACTAATCCAATGACTAGTAATTCACATGTGGAAGTGCATTTGCTAGTGATCGCTTAAAATATCAGCACAAATAAAAGCTCAAAAAAATATTTTATAATTATTTTTTATAAAGATGATGTAAAGTGTTGGTAAGAGTGGTTTGAGGAACTCATCGAGCGATGAGATTCAAAACTTCTCGACAATAATCAACAAAACTTACTTTTCAACTAAAAGTAAAATATAAATATTCAACGAAAATTAATCTAGTTAATGCTTCATAAGTTTTTTCAACATAAAAATAAAAGGTGAGATTAATAGGGTACCCAAAAATTAATTTTTTTTTTTCCATACCAACTTGTGTTGAATATTTCATCACAATATGCTTTCAAAAAATTTCATATCCCCCTACTTTAAATTTAAAATTTTGGCCATAGTAGTTGCATATGATATATATAGAGGTATCGGTGTTTCGGATATTCTTGAAATACAGCCTAAAGATGTTTGACTTGACTTTGATCATCGTATTTATTTTCTTTTGGCATGTACTCAATATTTATTTTCTAAAGCCTCCTTGGTGGCAAAGTGGTAGGTTTCAGTTACCATCGAAATCAGTAGAGAGCCTAAGAGCTTAGGAGAGAGTATGAGAGCTTAGCAACATTCAAAGAATGCCTAATCAAATGTGTGAGGAAGGAGTTTGGGATGGTAGTTTTAGGATTTTAGGATTTTTTTCTTAAAATATCTCCAAAATGGATTGTTATTTAGCTATTAAAAGGGGCAAATCTTTTTTTTTTCATATTGTTTATATTTTATAAATTATAAAATGATCAAAATATCTCTAAAAATAATCGTTAATATGACTATTGAGAGAGAGAGAGAGAGAGAGAGAGATATTGATCATTTGTCCCTCCATAGACCGTTGGGCCAAGCGTTGACCAGACTGTTGGGCTAACCGTTTGAGCCCAACGATAGGTCAAAAGCTCTATTTTATTATATTATTGTTTAAAAAAAATTAAATAACGGTTCGAATTGGAGCCAAAACGAAACCAAACTACCTTTTGTTTGATTTTTAATTTGATTTAAAATTAATAAACTATGGAAACCAGTTCGATCTGATCAAATTCATTTTCGATCCAAATCAAAAGACAACTAGATGTCATGTCTCATGTTGAATCTCAAAACAAGGACGACTAGATGTCAGGTCTCATCTCCTGTCCGATCACAAAAGTTCTTTTTATTGCTGCTGATCATCATCTGATTGTCAAATAATTCTATGCAAATATATTGATAATTGAACCATCTGATAAATCTCATATTTGAATCCATCGCCATATACGTTATTTAATATAATAAAAATTTCTTGTGTGTGTGTTTTAACTGAACCATAATTGTCAAGAAAACCAACCTACAACACCTAATAATCATATGAAAGGGCACAGAGAGTACGATGGCCTGATTCGCCATTGGAGCTTTGATTATGTACGATGCTTTGGAATGAAAAAAGTACTTTCGATTCCCTAAACCAGCAAACATCTCAGTAGGATTCTAAAGCAACCACGGAGGCACTCAGAATGGATATTGTGCATGCATCTGGTTTACAGCAAACTCTTTTTATGGTACAATATTTCCACAGCAAATACAACCCACTGTCTCTATCAGACAGTGGCACGTCTATCATGGCGGTGGAGGGAGAAGTGATTACATAGCGGAGCAAATCAAATAAGAGTCCATCAAGCCTTTTTGCCCACCCAAGATAATTAAGATTGAAAAATATTTTGTGCATGGAGGACCCGTTCTCAACTACAAATAAGCAGATGACATCTAGCTATTCTTTTTTTTTATTCATTGCTCAAATTTAAGGATCCATCCATCATTAGTCTGACACTTTAGACTACTATTGAAACTTCCTCTTGAATGGTGCCATGAAGCCTTCCTCCAATCTGCTCCAGTTTTCATTATCACCACAAATTCATCGTAGCTGATCCGGCCATCCTGCGATTATACAAAAAGATTTGCTTGTTGGTGATCAAAGAGACTAACAGCGTAGCATCGAGAGAAGGAAGAGATCACTACCTTGTCAGTATCAACCTCGTACAAGATATCATTGGCCAATCCCGTGCTATCAGGGGCTCCATCTTCCTCTAGTGCCTCACGAAGTTCCTCTGATTCAATAAATCCGTTCCCATCTTTGTCAAAATAGGAGAAGGCCCTTCTGAGATGCTCATCGTTTGTCATTCTTTGTAAATGAAGAGAAACAGCTACAAAATCTCCATAATCTAGGGTTCCTTTTCCCTTGGTATCGATCTGTTTGGCAAATTTGAATAATTAGATTCTGCAGTATGTTGTTCACTGCCAAGCAAAAAACATATCAGATATATACAAAAGAATCAACCTACTAGGCGCATAGTATATAGATAACCCTTTCTTATCATTAAGCATGTCACCAAGCAAATAAAGTAGCTTGTGATCTCATTTCCTTGTACATCAGATGTACTGTGATCTATGATTCCGCTGAAGATTTTTTCAATAAAACAATTGAAAGCAATGATGAGCAGAAAAGCACGACATGGATATGCAATCAATGAGATCCTTCAATTTGATCCATTATTCAAGGCTTCCAAGTAACTTAAAACAAAAGAAAGTATTTGTCATCATCGATAACTTTAAGATAAGAGCATAACAACAGCCATAAAGGGTAAACCGGATCTACCATTTAAGAAAAGCACTAAAAGAGTTCCCACATCATTTGGATTTACATGAAGGTCGTTCCACTGATTTTATTTCCTGATTATATAAGGATGAACTAGAATCTATATAACCTCTATAGGCTTGTATCTCTTTAGCCTTTGGTAAATAAGTAAATTAATCTTGAAATATAAGTGTATACCTAAACTATCATTAAGCAGGGAAGGAACTAGGAACATGACAATCTCTCAAATATTTGAAGAGAAAATTAAGGATCCAAAGCATGAAAAAAGAAGTAAATTACCATTAGCCTTCTATCCAGAAGCTATTTTCAGACATCAGTATGGTGCAAGATTTTCACAACATAAAATTTGGTAATTAAATCAGCAATGAACCCTCTTTTAAAGTAATACGAATTCAAGGAATGCCATATCGCGTACCGGATCCATACCGGTCAATGACTGACCGGTAGGTACTAGTGCTTCGAAGACGAAGAAGAAGAAAAAGAGGAAGGAAGAAGAGGAGGTGGTGGAGGAAGAAGGCGCAAGAGAAAAGAAGAGGAATCAGTGGAGGAAGAGGAAGGCGCAAAAGGAAGGAAGAAGCGGAGGCGGTGGACGCATACCGAGAGGTACGTGATGGGAATGGCATCGAATAGTAGCGGCGAACAACAGTTGCGGCAGCCAAGGTTCCATGCTCCCCACAAGAAGAGTTGGGCCCGACTGCCCTAATTAAGTTTTTCTATATTTTTCTATCAGGTTGGACCTGAGCACCCAAAATGGGGGCGATCCACAAACTGGTCCACGATCAGACCAGTTTATCAACTTATATTGCAGCTGTTGTCACCCTAATCCCTTTGCCACATATACAGAACCTCCTAGATCATAATTTTCTGGAAATTAACAAATAATTTTTTTTCCAAAAATTCTTCCTAGGTTCTGGTTCTGTATACTTGTATTAACAATTAATCTAAAAGAAAATTTTCTTGCAAAACAAACCTACACAGAAAACAAAGATTAATGGTGGAAACTTATCAATTTCAAACAATTTTCCTAAAGAAGAAAGAGAAAAGATGTTCCTCCATAATCTGAAACTTCATTGCTGATCATAAGATAGAATTAAGCCAAGCTTGACGGATGGGTTGACCAGGGCACTTAAGCCAGTCCCAAACTGTAATCAAGCCAAGCTCAAGAAGCTCAGAAGTATCTCCTTGAGGGTTCCTAATAACCACAGGACACCCAGAGTTTATGCTTTGAGTTAAGCAAGTCAGTAGAACACAGTTAATGGATGAAATGCTTATAACTATGGTTCTTTTGCCTAAACAATAAATAGTTACAAGTTAAGTTTTGAGCATTTAGATGGAAATTGATTAGAACACAACGCATTCAGCCTAGACATCCCAAAATACAAATTTCAAGCCTAGACATAAGGTTGTGGTGCTGCAACATCTTATCAAATCAAATACAATTTTCCAAAGAGGTCTTTCATACTTAACTTTGGCCATAAAATACATGAAGATTGTAAGATCTCATAGATATGTGAAATAGACTTACAGCTTCAATAAGCATCTGCATTTCAGACTCCACAAGGTGCGAATCAAACTTAGGAAGCCCAGCTTTAAGCTCATCATGGGAAATGATGCCATCATTATCAGTGTCCATCATCCTAAACATCTCTTTAATATCCTCAGCTTCTTCGATGGACAAGTGATCAGCAATAACCTAATCAAAAGTCAATCAAAATTAATATACACTCGGGTTTCCAAAAACATTTGGAATAGTTAACCAAGATTAATATAGTGCATCGAACCATCAAAGCTCTTCTTTTAAATCCATTCATCCTTGAAAACTGTTTGAGCCTTGACTTGACAACATTACCAAGAGGTACATTTGGAGCTTTCTTAGTGTTTTGAATCCAAGGATGTTCTGCAAGAAGAAATAAACATCTAAGAACAAATTCAACATAATCTGGATGAAAACAAAATTTTTGTAGAGGGGCAGTCCTTGTATGTACAATACAAGATCAGGATTTCAAAATACAGAAAAAGAAAATCATTCCAGTTAATTCCTATGATCTCAAATTTGTCAATACCAATGACATCACATATTCCTTCTAGATAATATAAGCAATCAAAAGCCAATGCAATAGAACAGATAGAAGAATCTAACGAATTATCTTGATAATTGTGGAAGCAAAATTTTATAAAACCTTGTACTAACTGGATAATGACTTTATTAATGCGTAAGCAAGAAAACACAATGTACCATACCAAGAACTTGCTTTGCAGTTAATCGTAACTTGGGGTCAGGTTCCAACATCTGTTGAACCAAATTCTTAGCACTTTCTGAAACACTAGGCCATGGTTGACATTCAAAATCTATAACTCCCCGAAGAATGGCTTGTGCAACACCTTGTTCGGTTTCTACAATTCAAACGTTATATTTCTAATTAGAAAGAAAATTTATATGCAGAATTAATAAGGTACAAGCAAAATTTACTTATAAATAGTAGATTTTATATTACAGAATGAAGTATTAAAAATATTCAGTAACATCGGACGGATTCATTATTAAGGAGCTTACCAGCCCAAAATGGAGGAACTCCACATAGGAGGATGTAGAGAATAACTCCAGCACTCCATATATCAATTTCTGGTCCATAACTCCGCTTTAGAACTTCAGGAGCCATGTAATATGGGCTTCCAACTATCTCAGAAAACTTTTCACCTGGAATGGACAAAGAGAAACAATACAAACTACCCATTGCATTAAATTAAAATGAGAAGGAAACATGTAAGAATTTGTTAGAAAACCGTACATAAAAAGACTTCATGCTTTTAGCAATCTATTAACTCTCAGCTCCAGATGGAACAACTATCTGAGGACAAATAAAGTTATAATTTTTAACAAGAATCAACAGCATTAATCAGAGTTGATAGATATAAAGCTTAGTAGTATTAACATATATAGAGTACTCTGGAAAATAATGGCTATTAGGCACATCAATGTAATTTATTACCTAATAGAACCTTCATTCAGACAAATGGAGATGAATTATATGATAAAAGTAAATCTGATTTCCTTCCCATATTTGAACTTAAATCTGTGTTCTGAATATTTGTCGATCGCCCAGCCATTGTGCTTTTTACACTCATACACCATCCACCTATGTCACATCACTGAAAGAGACAAAGTCTCACCCCAACAAATCTGCCACACTAGCCACAAATAGAGGCCACTCACGGTTACAGAAGATGCCGACTATAAAATGGAGGCACAAGCACAATTTTACAGGTCTGATCCTCTCTCATCCTTCCCCTATCCACCTCGAGATTATTAACGTGGAAGTCCAAGGGACGTATCAAAAAACCCTCCCGACATCAGTCTTCGTGCAGGAAAGAGGCCTACAGCAACTTGGTATCACATCAGGAGCACTCGATACTCAAAGACAATGTTGGTTTTTTCCTTGTGCAAGTCGGGCTCAGACCAGGTCGAGCTGGTCATTCCTCTCGAATGTGACCACCGACATCAGGAGATAACCGACACACCTACACTCATAATCTTTCACAGGTATACAACTAACCCTCTCATTTGAGCTTATAAAGGTATCCAAGAAGTCTTAGGTGGTTAAGCCTGCTCCTCAACAAAACCATGCTCATCTTCATTTTTCAATAACTTCTTCAATCCACGCTAGTACTTTCATACCCAAGAAACAAATTTGATTCATTTCCAAATGTATCTCTTTGTCATGAGGAGTAATAGATTGCAAAGAAAGCCCAATCCACCCTCTGAAAATGAAACTAAATAGCTGACTTTTCAATTAATATACTTTTCTTTATTCTCTAAATTTAAGTGTACATTATATCCACAACAGGTGGGGCTCTCAATAAGGTATGCCAAACCTCAAAAAGAAAAAAGGGCCAAAGAAGTAAGTTTGGATTTTTCAAGTGCCAATCATCAAAGTGACATTTTAGGACTGGAAGTCAAATTCCTCTGACTAGTCAAATCAAAGTTATTGTAGGAGTGCTTCATAGAGTAGTCAGTTTGGGCTCTTGTAGCACACAATCACAACTAGCAACTAAAAGAAAAAGTTAAGGACAAAGGCTGCAAAACTGTGTTCAAAATCATAGCAACAGAAAACCTGAAAAGGAGAATAGACTATGATAAAACAAGGAATTATTGGCAGTGATAAGTGCAACTGAGAAGGCAACAATCTGCAACATCAAAGGATAATACAAAAAAGTCAATTAGATTGTTATGGAAATGTGCAATAGGTGGCTCATTGAACCCAAATCAGCGCGAAAGACGTAAAAACAAAAAAGATGGCATTTTATAGAAAAGGCATTTCATGATAGTAATGCCACCAGAGATGCCTCTTAACCGGACTAATCAACAAAACATAACTGAATAAGTCAATACACAATTATATAACTATAGATTTTGAACGTTCTTTCCATTATCTATAGATTTACCATGCCATGATGTACGACATCTAGCAACACCAATGCAATAGCCTGGGAACTTAAAAATACCAAATTCAGTACAGCTATATATAGATTCCTAGTAGGAGCATGGAAATTCCAGTTTATGAAACAACTTAGCACTGATAAATTCCTAAACAGAATCAGACGTTTAGCAGAACTCAGCAGCGACGACAAGGTCCAGAAATATGTGTTTGGCAAGTATATCATCACAGTTAACCACAAACAACTTGCAATTTCATCATAAACAGACAGATAGAGCAGAGAAATAGACCCACCAGGCTCGAAGAATATAGACAACCCGAAGTCAATCGCCTTCAACGGTGAGTTATCCTTCTTGTCCACGAACAAAAAGTTCTCCGGCTTGAGGTCGCGATGGATGACCCCGTGTCGGTGGCACAGCTGCACAACCTCAACGATCGTCCTCATGATAGCAGCAGCGGCACGCTCCGAGTAGTGCCCCTTGGCCACAATGCGATCGAAGAGCTCCCCGCCCTCACAGAGCTCCATCACCAAATGCACGGCGCGGTCGTCCTCGCATGCCTCCCTGAGGCTCACGATGCTGGGGCTCTTCGGCACGTGCCGCATTATGGCCACCTCCCGCCGCACGTCCTCCACGTCCACCGCCGTCCGCAGCTTCCGCTTGGAGATCGACTTGCACGCGAAGAGCTCCCTGGTGTTCCGATCGATACAAAGGTAGGTGACGCCGAAATCCCCACGGCCGAGCTCGCGGGCGAGCACATACCTCTCTTCGATCCTGCCGACAGACTTGAACTCGCTTCCTAGAATCGTCATCCTCTCGCGGTGGCCGCCGCCGTTCTGCTGCAGTTGGTGGTTATTATTGAAGCCGGCGTCGGGGAAGGTGGGACACGGCCGTCGACGACCGGCAGCAGACGATCATCCCGCGCTCCGGATCCGATCCCTTTGCTTCCGGAAAGAGATCGAACACCGACGCGGTCGCTAGGGTTTCACATCATATCTCGCATATAATAAATCCAATTTCTTGAGGGGTTGGATTTGGTTAACTTTAGGGGAAAGGGACGGGGAAGCTTTTCGAGTGGGAAAGCCGAGAGCCGAGTCTGCCAGAAGTTACCGCGGACGCAGGTGCGACAACATGGAACGCGAGGAACGGCGAAAGGGAAGGAAGGGGAGGAGGAGGAGGCCGAGGAGTCTCTTCATAGTGGTCTCCGTCATCATTACGGCAAGTGGAGCCGTTCGGGTTCGACACGTTGACTCACGATCGAACGGAAGGTAAAAGATCCAATAAAAAGTAGTGCGGATGGGAGGTCAGTCGATAGCCCTCTTCTGGAGAATTCCAAGCACCGGATGCTTTCTCCCCTCTCCTCTGTACACTTGGTTCTTTTCTTGCGCGAGTACACCATCTCCTTCATGATTTCATATTCGATTATGGTCTAACATGTCTCGTACCTCTGAGCTCCGAATCTTGTGCTCGGACCAAAAACAAAGAAACAGATCGGTGTAATGGTAGAGATGATGCTTTGGGGATAAAAAGAGAGTGAGCGCTGTAAATCTTTCATTAGCGCTCAGAATTATGTGCTGCAGATAAGAATTAAAGAATAAAGTAATGTATGGATATAAAGAACAGGTGGTTCACGAACTGCTGTGAGCTACGCGAAGAGAGAGAGAGAGAGAGAGAGAGAGAGAGAGAGAGAGAATCACACACCTTAAGACAAAAGTTAAAAGAGTAGCAGTCGTTTCAATGTCGCAATAATTGAGTAGAGACGGCTACTCTATGAGAGGAGGAGCCCAGTATCTTAGCGCTGAAACCGCAAACACATCATCGTTAACGTCAGAAGAGGCATCAGCGTGCAAAGGATGGAAGCATGCGATGATGCTGACTGTGTTTCTCCAATCTGCTCAATCTGCTCCAAATACAACGCATGTGCCACAAGAAAACTAAGTCTTCTTTTCTTCCTGGAGATGGACGCTATAGGAAATAAATATTTTAACAATAAATACAAATATAAAAAAAACTCTCTGGAACCTGAACCAGCTAGAAACAGTTATATTTGATGTTTTAAGTCATCTTCGATCTCAACCCAGTTAAGGAGGCTGCCACTGTAGGATAGATCTAATCAAAGGCATTGTCAGGATCATCCTACCTCGGTTCTGATTTGAGAGAGACGACCTCGATTAGTTTTTTATCAGCTCATACACCCAATCTTGTGAACTTACAATGGAGAGGATCTGCATAAACAAACATCAATAATTCGTAGAATTCCATATTTGCAAATATCAGTGTGGAAGATTTCGTATTGGCACATGAGAGAGTCCACCGTACCTTCCTCGCAAAATCGTGAAGAATCTGTCCTTCCATGGCTTCAGTCAATTGCTGTGAAATGTTACAGATTGTGCTTAAGCTTAGAGATACACCTTACTTCACGAATTAAACTGAAGTCAATGAGTGTTCGACCAATAATCGAGGCAACAGTGATTTCAAGGTGGCAAACAATTACATTTTCCAGATCATCACTGCCATCAATTTTTCTGTATTATTCTTCGTAGGCTTCCAACCTTTAAGGCCTCACGTATCACTTGAGTTTGCTACATGAAGAAAATGGCATGTGAAGGATCGTTACTTACCAATAATCGACAAGTTAAAGAAAGAATAATTAAAGTGTTAGACACTAGGTATAAAACAATTATTGTGCCAGACAGAGTACCACATTCAATTAGCATCGGGGAACAAAAAGGCTTTCTTATGACATAAAACTTTTAATGTCAATTAATTATTTTGATCCGAATGTCAATTAATTACTCTGATCCGATGCAGGCATCAAAACCATAATGAATAGTCTCGGTATGAAGCTGCCTGAAGCAGCATTCCAGGATAGAAAAATCATGAACCTGATAAAAGAGACCACCAAATGGCAGGCAGCAAATAAATGAGGAAGCAAATATGTAGCTGGCTTTTACATATGTGACGATAACATATATCATAATTAGAGAAGGTTGTAGATTTCAACACTAAGTCCTAGGGGATTGACAGTTTGATATCTGCAAGTGTAACGAATATTAATTTGTATGGGGTTCAGGTTCAACAATCCATTGACTCAATACCACCTTTCGGATGGAAGTTTTGGTAAAAAGGAAAACTATTGCTAGGAAACAAGCATGAAACCTAAAAGAAACAACCTCTATTACTTGTAAAAGCAATGAAATTAAAAGTGTGATAGAACACTTATAAATGCATAAGAACGCAGGTTATCTTTGGACAACACCTGGGTACTCTCGATAGTTTGCAAAACGCTATTGGTTTTTTGTCTCCTCGTATCTCGTTGCTAGAACCTCCAAAGATTTGGACAACAGGCTTTGGGGGCTTCTCATAGCAGCTGGGCGGAGCTTGATGCAAAGCTTTGGTTACTGGAACTCGAGGAAAAAGATTGCGGTTGGAGGGCAAGACCCTTTTCTGAACTCCTCATCTTTTGACCCTCTACGCAAGCTGAAAGGCTAGAGCCAGCTAGGGCTATTTCTTGGTTGCCGTGGGGTCTTCTTCTTGTTGTTGCCAAAAGTCTCTTAGAAAGAAATTAAGGCTAGCAACATGTTGGAAAAGATCTCTATAGTAAGGTGGCTCTAGGCAGGAAGAAGGGCTGCAGAACTTGCAAACCTCTTCCTCTCTTTGCCTCCTCCCCCTCTCAGCCTAGGGTCAATTGGCTTCTCAAGAGAAGGCACAACTTGGATTGCTTTAGATGGAGCTATTCTCCTTTTATAGCCGAGGAAGGGATGGAGTCCTAGCTAGGTTAGGGCTAGTTTAGGGCTGGCTTATGAAAGTCCTACTCCTATTAAGAGTTGACGCCACGCTCTCCTCGTGGCTACCCCTATTTGGGTGAGGGCTGCCCTAATCTTAATCCTAGTAGGATTGTGATTAAGCTGAGTGCGCTACTATGTATGATATGGACTTTGCTTGGCCAAATAGGGTTTTGAGGCTTCAAAAGGCCCTTCAATAGGGGTCAACTAGTATGGTTGAGTGTTTTTGAGATTGTCCCTAATCACGACTCCTCCAATTAGGCGATTCATGTCTCGTTGAATCTTACTTTGAGGCTTCTTCTCTCTCCATCCGGAGTTGGAGGTTTTGCTTTGGCCCATCAATGTGGTCGGCTTCGGTGCTTAACCATATGTCGTCCACGTGTGCCATTTTGATGTGGTTCACTTTGTTGCTGATCACCATCAACTTGAGGGCTTTGTCGGACTTCTTGGGGCTTCAAACTTGCTGCTACCCCTTTTGGTTTCTCCTCGTCTCTATTGTTGGAGGTAGACTTTGGTTTTTTGCATGCCGAAGAAAGAGTCATGAGCTTTCGACAAGCATTCACCGTCCGCTTTGCTGGGTCGATAGATGTCGAATCCTCCGTCGAACCAATTTAATCTCATGTGACGAGGAACTTCCGTCCATCTTTCTAAAGTTATACTTCTAAAGTTGGCGAAAGTAAACAACATCTCGATCCTATAAGTAGGGGCTCCCAAGGATGAGTTGGCATATATCAAGTGGAACCGCCTCACATGTCACCTCATTGATGAATCCCTTTATGATGACAAAGCATATCATGCATTGTTGGTCAATCTTCATCTCTACATCATTATGAAGCCATCCAAGAGGATACGAGCGTAGATACAATGTCGTCTCTAGGCCGAGCTTCTTCACCAAGCTCATCGAGATGTTCTTTTAGCACCCGGTATGACCTATGTTATTGGTCAATCTTCTCTCATGTATGACATGCAATTTTACAGTGTTAATAGAATGAATCACTTCGTTTTGAGGAAGAAGTTTTACCATCCCCAAAATTCTCTTGGGCCTTTGGGTGGCTCCTTTTAACCTTCTTTGTAGGCTTCTTGTTGTGGGTGTGATTCTTTCTCTTGATCGCCATCACTATGTTATGTGATCGAAATATCATATACTTTGAAGAGGCTCAACTCTGTACGAATCTATTCATGGAGGTCGATAGTGTATTTCATCATTGTTGAGTAATCGTTGAGCGAGTTTCCAAGTGCCATCGCTTGTCATCGAAACTTAATAGTGTATTCTTACATAAACCGGTCCTAGTCCAATAAGTTTAGTGCAAAGTCATAAAGTTTCTCCAAAGTAATCCAAGTGTCATCGAAAGCTGGCCGATCATGCCACTTGATAAGGAAGTGTCGAGTAATGCTAGTAGCAGACATAACAAGGCTGTCATAAAAAATGGCCTCTACGTCATTCTTGTGTTATAGGAGAATTGATGCTTTGGGATGATTGTCACCTACAGGAACATCGTTAGACAAAGGAAGCTCAAAAGTATCATGATATTGAGTTAAATGCTCCATATTGAAAACTGGACTAATATTTAAGTCGGAAGACAAATCGAGCATATTTGCATTAGATCCCAAATTTTGGATAATGGGAAAAGAATCAATGGCTCGAGCATGCAACTTTTTGAATGAGTTTTTAGGAGATCTCTCTGGGCGAATGCGAACCAAGACATAATCACCAACTTGAAACTCTTGACTTCTACGATGTGCATTAGCAACATGTTTGTAACTTTCATTACTTACAGTAATTTTGCGTTGAATCTCAACATACAAATCATGAACATGTTGAGCGAAGGAGTGGGCTGGTTCTAGGGCCCGATAGTCAAGTGGAAGGAGTGCAAGGTCAATGAGGGTGTGAGGAGTATAGCGGAGGATAGTTTGAAATGGGCTTTTTGTGGTGGAGCGATTGACTGAGTTATTGTTTGCAAATTTTGTACTGGGTTAGGTTAAGTCTTAATTTCCAGGTTTCTCCCTAACTAAACATCTAAGAATATTTTCTAAGGAACGGTTAACAACCTTTGATTGCCCATCGGTCTAGATTTGAAAGGTTGAAGAGAACTTCAATATTGCGCCAAATAGTTTCCACAAAGTTTTCTAAAAGTAGCTAACAAATTTCACATCCCTATCGGATACCATGGTTAAGAGCAAGCCATGTAATTTAACCACTTCTCAAAAGAACGATTTAACATTGTGTGAGGCATTATTGGTCTTGTTATATGGGATAAAATAGGTCATTTTTGAAAATCGATCAACAACAACTAAAATAAAGTTATGGCCACGGGTTGTTTTGGGAAGTCTAAGGACAAAATTTAAACTCATATCTTGCCATATGTGAATGTGGAGTGGGTAAAGGGGTGTATAGGCTAGTATTGTATTTGCGAGTTTTCGCAATTTGATAAGTGCAAAACTGCGACAGCATTCGAGCAACATCTCGCTTTAAGGAAGGCCAATAAAATCCATCCTCGACTAATGTAATGATCTTGTCTCGGCCTAGGTGACCTACTAATCCACCCACGTACATTTCCCAAACAAGTTTCGAAGGGAGGAATGGGGAACACACAATCTAGTAGATAAAAAAAGGTAACCGTCCCTAAGAATGAAGTCCATATGTTCACGATGCTTTCCATCTTGGACTTCTCAATATATGTGACTAAAGTCTAGGCATTGGGTATACTCTTCTTTTAATTACTCGAATCCTATGACCTTGACACTCATGGAAGATAGGATTGTAGAAATTCGACTATTAGCAATTGTTTTGAGTGTAAGAACAATGCTTAAATTACAAAAGAGTCTTTGTTAAGAAACTCAACCCACTTGGCATGTCGAGTATTAACTTCTTTTGGGCATTTAAGTACCATAAGGCCTGGTGGTTAGACAACAAGACAAACGCTTACGGTAGAAGGTAATGTCGCCAATACTTAAGACATTGCATAATCATGTAGAATTATGTTGTAGGTAGAATAATGTTGCTTTGCATCATTGAGTTTCTTATTGAAAAAGGCGTATCGCTTGACTCTCTTGACTAAGAATCCCTCCTATGCCTACACTAGAGGCATCACAAAGTGACCTCAAAGGGTTTACTAAAGTCGGGGTGCCTAAGAACACGAGCGGTGGTCATTTTCGTCTTAATGTCAGCAAAGGCTTTAGTAGCAGTCAGGGTCCAAGAAAACTCATCTTTCTTTAGGTAATCAGTGATAGGTATCATGATGGAACTAAACCCTCTAATGAATCTTTTATAGAAAGAGACTAATCTATAGAAACTTTGAATCTCAGAAAGGTATTAGGCTCAGGCTATTCTAAAATGACGTGAATCTTTTATGGATCAGTGGCAATACCTTAGGTAGAAATGATGAAGCCTAGGAATAGAACATGGGTTTGCATGAACGAATACTTTTTAGATTGACATAGAGCTCAGCAACTTGAAGGGTAGTAAGAAACTATTGAAGATGTTTTAAATGATTCTCTTGGGTCTTACTAAAAACCAACATGTCATCAAAGTATACTACAACAAATTTACCTATGTATGGTTGTAAAACTTGGTTCATGAAGCGCATGAAAGTGTTTCGGGTATTGGATAGACCAAAGGGTATAACTAGCCATTTGTATAGGCCATCTTGAGTTTTGAATGTTGTTTTCCATTCGTCACCAGATCTAATACGAATTTGGTGCTATCCACTTCTCAGATCAAGATTCGACAACTAACTAGATCTAATAAGAAGGCCTAGCATATCCTCAAGTCGAGGAATCTGGAACGATATTTGATTGTTATTTTATTGATTGCTCAACTATCGACACACATCCTCTAAGGCCCATCTTTCTTAGGGGTTAACAAGGTAGGGACAACGCAACGACTAAGTCTGTGTCGTACAAAACCTTTAGCCAAAAGTTCTTCAACTTGCTTGTTTAACTCAATTTTCTCCTTAGGATTTATTCTATAATGCGGGAGATTAGGGAGCTGCGATCGTTGGATAAGGGCAATGGCATGTTGGATTTCCTATGAGGGTGATAACTCACTAGGTAATTCCTAAGGGTATGACATCAGAAAATTCATCTAAAAATGATTTAACCTCAGAGTTAGGTCAAGAATGGTGCAAGAGCTAGGAATTTCTCTAGCAATGATGGCCACACAAAATTTGTTGTCTAGGCTCTCAATTTTAAAAGATTTAGGATCTAGTAAGTGGAACCCATTAGTGGTTAAGACTTGTGGAAGAGACTTAGGAGTTCACGTTTTGTCCTTTTCTTATGGTTTTGCTAGTCATAAGATAATGTTTTTGCCTCTGTATTGAAAGACATATGTGTTTTCTCTCCCATGATTGGTAACATCAACGTCATACAACCAAAGCCAATCTAAAAAAATGTGGGCAACATCCATTAGTATGACGTCACAATAAATCTCATCCTTGTAATCGCCTATTTTGATTGGTACCAAGCATCTTTTGGTCACGAATAAAGTGATTTTGTCAACCCAAGCTACTTTGAATGTGGTTGGATGTGACTCCACCTTAAGGATTAGTCTTTTGATATCAGATTTTGATACTACGTTCATAGTGCTACCCTTATTTATAACCAATTTGCAAGTTCATTCCTCGCTTCGAATAAAAGTATGGAAGATACTTGTCCTCTTCCATTCATTGGAATCACTAGCAGTAGAGAGAATAATGTGGACAACATTAACATGGGCAACTTCAATTTCTAATTCGCTTTCGTTGCTTGAGTAGGCTTCAGGTTCAACTACTTGGTATGCTTCCTTGATTTAATCCTTTGGTTCTTGTTTTAAGATAAGGGGATGCTGAGGACAATGAGAGGCAATGTGACATCTATTATGACAATAATGCCACTAGATTAAAGATGAACTAGTTTGAGAATCAACAATTAAATGGTTGGGCTAGAATTGCAGCTAGCAGTGGGGATTTTTGGCTTGGCAGAGCCACTACTTGGGGTAGATTGGGAAATAATTCTATTGTCGAGAGATTGAGGAAATGCTTAACGAAATGGATAAAGTTTGATGTACTTCTCAATCTCAAGGACTTGTCCGAAAGCTTCCTTTATAGTGTCGGGAAAACTAAGGAAGACTTTCGATTGAATACCAAACCTCAACCCATTAACAAATCATTAGACAATGATGATTTGGTCCTTTTCTCCTTCATACTTGAGTAAAAATTCCTCAAATTGGGCCAAATACTCTATCACACTAGAATTCAACTATTTAAGGTTTAACAATTATTCAACCAGCTAACTTCGAAAGTAGGTTGATAAATATTTTTTCTTAAGTTTTTGTTTCATGACTTCCCATTAAGTGATGGGAGACTCTTGACGATGTTTAAGACTATGTTGAACATGTTGTCAATATTTCCTAGCGGACCCTATCAATTTTATTTTTGTAAACCGTTCACGTTCAATATCAATCATTCAGTACCACTTATAGTAGTCTTTCATGCTATCTAACCAGCCAACAAACACATTTGGGTCAAATCTACCATCAAAGTTCGGCACATCCACTTTGACTCTCCTAGTCATTTCCCCTAAATTGTCAGCAAACTGAACTCGTTGGTCCATTACTCGAGTTTGTGAATTTCTAGTAGGTTATAGGAATTTATCGTTAAGTTTAAAAGCTTGATCATTAGAAATTGTTGGAGCATGATTATGAACAGGTGCCCTATAGGTGGATCTAGGATTTGTTCGAACTGGAGCTTAGGGAGTTAGTAAAATTCCTTGATTTAAAACTATGGATTGCGGAGAATGGATATGTTGCCTAATTGACTCATCAACCTCATTCATGGATCATTTTTCATGGTGTTGGAGATCTCTTTGGACTTGGGTCATTTGGTCAAATAACTAGTTCAACATTGCGTCATGATTTGCTAGTTTAGTCCTAAGGATGTCTACCTCACTCAGTTTAGAGATTCATCAGAAATGGTTTGGTTTTTACCTTGCTAAGTCATTATTCTAATGCTATCAACAATTTACCTTTTGGTAATGAGGTTGTTAATTGTTGCAATGCACCAGGTAGAAATGCAATGTTTCAAATGATTCTCACTTGTTTTTCACTTTTTGTTTGGTGTTTTTTAAAGATAATTTTCAAGGGTTCAAATTTCAGTGGTACTATAGTTGTAGCTAAAGGGGAGAGAGAGGGTGATAAATATAAAAAAAAGAGAAAACGAGAGAAAAGTGATAAAAACCATGATCTAATGAAATATATGATTTTTCTTTTCGATAAAAATTATTAATAAAGTTTTTAAAATTTACTCGACACTGAGAGCCATGTGGTCCACCAATTCCATAGAGACAGTCACCCCAATGTCCAACTCCACACGCAAGGGGTTGACATTGGAGGTGCAAGGATCCCTGAGTGTTGATCGAAGCTTTTGCTACTAGTTGGAACACAATGGGGTTTAGGGCGGGTTTCTTGATGTGCTCTAATATCAAACTGATATGGAACAAAGTAGAGAGAAGAGAGAAGTACAGAGAAAGCACAAGAGAAATAGAGCAAGATAGCAAGAGAAGAGTGCAAGAGACTAAGAGAGAGAAGATGCAAGCCTTTCTTTATTCAAATCGGAAGTGCTTGATCCATTAACAAGCTCTATTATTTATAGGGGTTTAGGAGCCTTGATACAATTAATAAAGATAATGATTCCCTAGAGAGAAGAGAGAAGTAGAGAGAAAGAACAAGAGAAATAGAGCAAGAGAAGAGTGTAAGAGACTAAAAGAGAGAAGATGCAAGCCTTTCTTTATTCAAATCTAAAGTGCTTGATCTATTAACAAGCTCTGTTATTTATAGGGGTTTAGGAGCCTTGATACAATTAATAAAGACAATGATTCCTAAGAGTAATCTCCTAGGGAATTAGTATGCCTCTTAGAAATCCAAGATGTGACTTCTAAGATACCTAAATAGTAAATGAGTGCACTTAATACAAAAAGAGTCCATAGAAAGACCAAAAGACTTTTCAATTTTCAACATGACTCTTAGAATTTCTAGACTAACTAATTGATGACTTTTTGTTGATATCTTTGCCTAGAATAATTTTTTTCGAAATCCTTTATAAAGCTTAATAGTTCTCTATTAATAACCCAACTATCACACAATCTTCAATATTAGCTATCATCTCCGTTAGTAGTGCACAAGTTTCAAAATCTCTATAGTTGATTTTGGTAATCTCCAAAATTTATGCAACCTAAATATGAAGGTCTTCAACAAAATAACAGATTGACCAAATGCATGGGTCTCCCACCAATATGGGATTGGTGATTAGCCAATGTCTACAGGCTTACTCATGTAAGAAAATATATTGATTTGATCACTAGAATGCAAGTCAACAACGTCATAAGGAGCAACTAGAAGATCTTTTAAGGACAAACCAAAAGATAGAGCCCAGAAATATAAATAGAAAAGCTGATGTAAGAATTTAAGAAATCAATACCTTTATGCTCTTGAAGCATGCCAAGGAACAGCTGGACAAGCAAAAAATAAAATATATAATGTTAATACCTAGTACAACTGGGACGAGCACCAAAGAACACAATAAACTAAAAGAAAAACGTTGCAGAGTTCCAGTTACAAATTAACCAAATAAAAGCCTCACAAAGGTTTAGAATTGACTTGCATAGTTCTTCAAGCATGTCAGCTAAAAAGCTAGATCGACATAGAAAGTTGCCCCTTACCAGACTCCTCATTACCTTGTATATTAGAGAGGATTAGCGTGGCTTGTTTTAGGGTTTCTAATATTGTCTACACTACAACATACTTGTTTGGCCTATCACGTATAGTGTGTCTTACACACTCTCTCATACGCATGCACTTTCTCCACAAGGTCTTCTTCTACAAACTAAACTGCTTGGAGAAGCTTTTGTTACTAAATTTTACTGACCAGAAATTGCTCTGAAACATTATCATTGGTCTCGTGTAGCACTCGAGCTAGACAACAATCACTCTAGCGTAGCGTTCCTTTACAAATATTCAACATTTGCAACATTTTTCTCCGTGAGCATTAACACGATGCAAATCAAGTATCTAGCATTTAGTATATAGACCCTCCATTGGAGAGAACTCGAGCCTCAAAAGAGTACCCTTTTGGGCATGTTGCTAATTACCAAGGACCGGTGAAGGCGATTGATAGTAACTAAATTTTGAGACAAGATCATGTTCAACAACGTGACTACAACATCATCACCACCCTAAAAAGAAAAAGGAAGGAATAAGAAAAAAGAACATCTTTTAGTCAAACGCTACAAGTAAGAGCCACCAATTAATTTCTGCACCTACAGATATGCGATGAGGAAAGGGCAAAAAAGAGGTACGGAACATGATGATGCGTACTACGGGGCAAGGCAGCTGAGAAACTTGTACTTGGATTGCGCTTCGTAGCAGACCTCGAACTCCAGAAGGGGAGGACGAGGACTCACCTCTGCTCGATTCTTGAGCCCCCCAACTCACCACCCTTGTTGTTCTCCGATTTCACCGTCGCACGAGTTCCTTCGCCGACAGAGGCGACAATCGATCGATCGGACACGGTTTGGGGAACCTGTGAGCGGATGGATTGTCGGGAAGCGGCGAAAGACGCGGCTAAAGGCCTTCGGAAGCGGAGCGGGCCGGGCCTGTCAATGTTGTGGGTTTGATGAATGATTATATTCTTTTATTTTTAATTTTTTGGGGAACCAATTCCCGGAAGAAATATTTTTAAAATTTTTCCTGTCCTTTTTCATATTTCAACGGAGAATCTCATCTTTTTTTATAATTCTTGGAATATCCTTGACATACCATAATAATAATAATAATTTTCTATTTTGATGGATCAGTCACTTGGTCCCCACGATGGGTGCCAATCTAAGAGGGGATCACTTGGTCGGTCTCGATACACTTTGGAGGTGCGAAGGATTGTCCACTTTGGGTGAGTGCGATCGAACCCGCATGGTTTTATTTTTTCGGAGCCACAAAACGATTGTCTTATGAGCCCTTGACCCCCTCACTCCTTCGATGTGGGACTAAGTTGGCCCTAGGATGAATCAATCAAATTTCTTAGTTATTATATTTTTTAATAGACATAAATTTTTTAAAATATGAGCATATTTTAAAATATCATAACTGATGTAAAAAGTTATTATTTTTCATATAAAATGATTCATTTTATTTTGAATCCATTTGCTTTCATCACAATGTTTTTACATTGTTATGATGAAAATATCATAAATACTTTAATAAGCTTTAAAAATATTATAACTTGATGGTGTTTTTCAAGGATGATTGGATGGAAAAAGAGAGAATTTCAAGATTAGTATCAAAATTATAAAATATTTTTCAGGATGTTTGGATGGAAAAACTGAGAAAATTTCAAGGATTATGAAAAAATGGATATGCTTGTTGAAAAATATGAAAAAGGGACACCTCCCATCAAAAACCCAAAAAAATAAAAAGTAATCATTTTTCTTTCCTCTCGTTCATATATGATGAGAAAAGAACCAAGTAAAGATAAGACATCCAAAATTCAATACAAACTTGTGAATAGCTGAGCTTTTATCTATCAATTTTGAATCACAGATACTAAAGAAAATTTTGATACCCCACTCCTTGAAATCTGACGTTGTCCAACGTTTCTTTTGCAATATACCATCATGAATTCAAGGAGAAAAAAACCAGCCAATCTAACATAAAAATTTCAAGATTCTGAACCAACAGCACAAAACCAAAAGATCTCAATTCTACAAACATACCGACCAAGCTGACAACACTAGAAGGTAAACAAAGTACAGAGTAGGACGATATTACATCCAGTATCTCAGCAGCGGATCTTTCAAAGGGAGGCGTTCATGGTAGACTCTCCATGCATATTCTTCCAAACAGAAGGCATGAAACCTCTTTCCATCATCATCGTCGTCATCACCTTCATCACCAATGTCGGCGACACAGCCATCTACTGATAAAGGCATTAGGGGGGAGATAACACTATCAAGTGGAATGGTCACCAGCACCGTCACAGATATGCAGCCAGAACCATCACGGCCATCAAAGGGCAAGGAAGGCGGTTGAGGCCTGCTCCTCACCTTCTTAAACCTTCCGTTGCTCCAAACCTTAGGACGAGCAAATTGTCACAGCAAGTTAGAAATATGCATCAAGATACAAACTGCAATTTTATCCTAGCCTTTGAAGTTAAGCTCACAAGTTTTCATTGTGCTTAGCTACAAATGCATTTGGTTTACCTAACAATAAACACAAGACAACACATTGGTAGATAATATGTCCACTAGAATCAATTGACACTGTTTTGTAGGTTGCTCTTAACTCTTAAGCATGCAGGCAGAAACTAGAACAGACTAATATGAACTTGACACCAGATCTTCAAAGACAATTAAAATGAGTTCCTATGAGATCTGTTCAACCTGAGTCATTTTCTTCGGCGAGGGTCTATATTAAGTTCAGCTAGAATCTAGGCTTAGCTGTTCTCTTTCTCTAAAAAGCTATCAAGTTCTCAATTGTGATTGATGAGAACAACTAATGCACGCTTCTTAAATTGAATTTAAATGTGACATCTTTCATGACCATAAGAAAGAATTTGATTGTGGATGAAACCCTTGTGGGATCTCAATTTTCTGCTCTACTGCATAACTAATCCTTTGATGTTTGTCAAGCATGTCTCACATGGAAAGAAGTCAATATAGGCTGCCCGTGTAGTGCAGTTCAGCTGTCAAAAGCATCTAATGTGTACTTAACACCAGACCTTCAAAGACAATTAAAACGAGTTCCTGATGAGATGAGTTCAGCGTGAGTCAGATTGTTATTCTTCAACCAGGGTCTACATTAAATTCAGGTAGAATATAGGCTAAGCTGTTGTCTTTTATTTCAAAAGCTATCAAGTTCTCAATCGTGATTGTTGAGAACAACGAATGTGCGCTTCTTAAATTGAATTCAAACATGCCATCTTTCATGACTAAAAGAATGAATCTGAATGTGGATGAAACTAATCCTTTGATGGCTATCTCGCATGGAAAGAAGTCAACAGGCTGCCAGTATAGTGCAGTTCAGCTGTCTGCAACAGATGCTGCCTATTCTCGAGTCATAGCAAGGGATTATTTTCAGCAAAAAAAAGAAAAAAAAAAGGTGGTATATATAGTAAGTGCAACACTTGTCGTCATAGCAATCAATTGTCACACCTATCTAAAAGCATTCGATTTAGTTCTGACTTCAAGATGGTTAACTGTAGTAGGAGAAGGGGATTGGCAGCCAAGAAACTCACCTGAGCAATGTCCCCGAGTGTAACAAGTATAGAATCGGCGATGGGAGCGATGCAGATCCGCTCACCTGAGTCACCGATAGCGTAACAGGGCTGCCTCCACCAATTCATTTCGTACTGAAGCCCCACCACGTACGGGTAGCACTTGCAGTTCCCCGTCTGAGAGGCAAGTTTGCCCGTATTGCTACAATCGTGGTGAGAAGAGATCCACAACAAACACCTTGGCGTATAATTCCGCTTCTCGAAGGGGTTTTCACAAAACCCCCTTTCCATGGACGATAGCATCTGTACCACCCCCAATCCCACCTTCTCCAAGCATTTGCTGAACTCTTGCAACGCTGGAAAAGATGCAAACCCGCCCGCGTCCCCGTTTTCGCTGGTATCTAACATCAAAATCCGATCCTGATCATCGTGGTCGAGGCTATCACCGTCGCAGTCGTCGCGGTTGAGGCCTAGAGATAAGAGATTGTTGACCGGGAGCCATTGAGATTGGAGGAGGGACCGAGAATCGGCTACGGCCGAGTAGGCGAGGTCGGAGGGGACACCGTGGCCGGCGAGGTGGAAGAACCCGAAGTCGGATGCGGCGGAGAGGAGGAGGTCGCTTCGCAGCGGCTGATCGAAGGATATGACAGGCGGAGAAGCCGGATGCGGGGAACGGCGACGCGGCGATGGGCGAGAGAGGGTTGGAGTAGCGAGAAGCTGGTGGAGGAGGCGGGAGAGAGCGGCGTCGGCGTCGGCGGGAAGGGAGTTGGCCAGCGATTGGTTCGACGGCGTCGGTGGAGGAGGCGATGGGATGGCTGCGTCGCCAAAGCTATGGTGGTGATCGTCACCGACAGAGGAGGACGAGGCGGAAGCGGAGGTGGTGATGGTGGAGGACGACGCCATTTGGAGGGAACGGTCAGACTTTTCTCGAGATAGTATTTCTTTTTGGCTACTAAACGAAAGAGAGCAGGAGATCAATGTATGCTTACTCGCGGAACAGCTTAAGAGAGTTCTGGGCAAGCCGGTCGGGTTCAACCCAAACCGAACCAATTGGTTTTGTAGACCAAGACCAATCTTAATCTCCTCGGTTTTCCTTTTGTTTCACAGTGCATAAAATCTAACACATTCGGGAATTGGTCTATTTTCTGATTCGATTTTTCCCCGGCTTAACCGAACCGAATTAACGGGTCGAATCGGGGTGGCATCCGCGCAGTAATCTTTGGTCCTCGTCACAAAATACCATTTATTTTCTGACACGGTGACTTTTGTGGTATTTCTGTGCGTGTTACAAGTTGCATGCGGCGGCGTTTAGGCTCTCAACGGGAATTCTAATGCCCGGATTGCAAGGCGGCGCGGCCAGCTGGGTGACGCTTGGGAGGAGGAAACGTAAGCGAGCCACTCTGACTTCTGTGAAAGGTCAGTGATCCAGTGATGCAGAGTTGCGTGGCGAAAGACAATAACAAGTGCTCCAAGAAAAAGGAATCAAAGTTTTATACTTAATGGCTCTTGTAATGATCTCCGCATGCTTCACTTGACACGAAGGTTTCAGATGAGTTCCACTTTGTCCCCACCACGGTGCCATCTTTTTCTGAAATGTGAAGGTGGTAGGCAATAAACGAAAAGAGCAGCAGCTTTTGATGCTTGTGTTTGCGACGTATAACTCAGAGTGGAGAGACGGCAAGTGGGGGAGAGGGATGAGGATGACGCAATCGTGTGTCTATCGAGGCCAACCGTTCCCTTGTTATCAGCCTATTAAAGAGGGTCGTCTTCTTGGAAGCACAGAACATGGCGGGCCATGTATGTTCCTCACAACATTGGTCGATATCTGCACATCTTATGCTTGCAGAAATGCTCATCCACGGAAGTGATACCACTCAGATTGTCGTTTCATGGATGCTCTTAACACTCTACAGGCACACTGGAGCAGCTTCCAAAGATGTGCAAATGTGTGTGTTCCACAGATATTGCACCATGGATTACATCCCTGGGAAAGTTGCTCTTGTTACTGTCAATCCGGGATAAAATAAGCACAAAGACAATGTATTCTGCGTTTGCTTATTCTCTCAATTTAGGCTGCGGACTTTTCTTCTGCCCTGAAACTCACATGACTAGGCAAGATCAGATGTTGAGACTCAGGTTTCCATCACAAATTTGGAAAAGACAAAGCTGATCGATCATTAGATGAAGAACTCAATCTCCTAATGCAAGTTATATTATTCAGACCATCCTTGGGTCTATCTATCTACACCTAATGATTACATCTGAAATGTTGAAAGAGCTTAAATAACAAGAATGTTCAGCTCGGGAGACCATATTACTTGTGGAGAAGTGAGGCAAGCTCCCCCTTCTCTGCCATGGAGGAAATAATATCACATCCACCCACGAGCTCCCCGTTGACAAAGACCTGTGGGAATGTGGGCCAGTTGCTATAGTTCTCCAGTGTTTCCCTCAACCCGTGGTTGCATTCCTCATCCAGCACATCGATGGATTCAAAAACCACAGAGTGTAGCACTCCCTGATCCTTTGATGAATGCAACTATTTTTTTCTCCTTCACCAGCTGATCAATGAGGGACAGTCAGCTGGACATTACGTGCAGGTGTCACTCTTAGATCTGGCTGTTTTTGTGGCCGCCTTATCCATGTGTTATTTCCAGATTCATTTCCCAGTGTCTGCAATGTGCTCTTCAATCCATAATTTCCAAGCACTGGTTAGAACAGGTTCAACTGCATCTACTAAGCCTACCTGCAACAATAAGGTGCAAACTTTTGTGAAGGAAGTTGCTGGTCATTGGAAATCTTTGCACCATTTGCTACTATTATGTATCCTAAATTCGTTCCCTTTAGATCATATTTTAAAATCAACTAAGGTGCCCAAAAAGCTGCAGTTATATTGTAAATGCACAGTGTGGAACCAAAAACTGCTCTGTAAGATATGCTTAATCGCATGTCTATAAAGATTACTATATACTTTTGAAGTTTACACGGGTTTGATAATTCACATATACGATCCAAAAAGCATAACATATCAATCATGTTGCACAACTTGAACTTAGTACAAGAGAAAGATCATGAAGTTTGATTCATTCAACCAATAACCCTGTTAATGTAGAACAGAATAGAGAGAAGAGAGAAATAGAGAGAAAGCAAGAGAAGTGTAAGAGAGTAGAAGAGAGAAGATGTAAACTTTTTTTCATTCAAATGTAAAGTGTTTTATGTGTTGACAATCTCCAATATTTATAGGGGTTTAGGAGCATTGATGCAATCAATATAAGCAATGATTTATAAGAATAATCTCATAAGAAACATGCATACCTCTTACAATTTCAAAATATGACTTTTAGAATACTTAAATAGTAAAGAGTGCACTTAGTACAGTGCCTAGGTTAACACTTAGAATGACTTGAAATACTTTATAAAATTGAATGATTCTTCATCACCTGTCAAGCAAGATATAATAAGTTTATTTCACCAAATATCATTCTAATGCATCACCGACATATGTGGTATCTGAAAATGGCATCAATTGTTGTCTAGTTCTCAACAAAAAAAAAAAACAAACAAACTTCCACCGTAACTACAAAAAATTAAATAAGATAATAAAGATTAATATTAAATCTCTAAAATTAAGGGCTCCTAAAATTAAGGAATCCTAACATTTTTCATCTCTCCAAAATAGTCTCGTTCTCAAGGTTAAGCAGCAACAAATTTTGAAAATTCCTTCACCAATACTTTGTAAGACTCCAAAGTGACATCTTCAATTAGTAAATTAGTCAATTGAATAAGCAACTCAATAATATGATATCTATTATGCATCTCGATCAAGTATGGCTTGAGGTAGGATTTGAATCTCACCAGTAGAAGAAATATTTGGTAAATGGTGTTATACCACATCATCCTCACCTAACTTCTTTTTAAGGCAAAATAAAAAAATAAAAAACTGAATGTATCTTAGAGCTTGCTAGCAAGTCCAAGCGAGAAGTAATTGAGCCAATACGTTCCATCACCTTATAAGGCCCAAAGAATCGAGGAGATAACTTCATAGAAAATCGAACCTTTATAGAAGTTTGTTTATAAGGGTGAAGTCGAAGGAAAACCTAATCGCCCATTGCAAACTCTCGCTCACTATGATGCTTATCATCTTATTGGTTCATTTTAGCTTGTGAGACTGCAAGATTATCTCTTAGAAGTTGAATAATCTTATCCCTATCAAGTAATTCTTTATCCACTTGATCAATCTTAAAAGAATATATTTTACAATCATTGGAGGTTGACCATAAACCACTTCAAAAGAGTCATTTTAGTATAAAAGTGATAAGTGATATTGTACTACCATTCTGCCCCAGGAAGTGATTTCATCTACTTCTTTAGTTTATTACTGATAAAACATTCGATATAGTTTTCTAGACATCTATTCATCTCTTTAGTCTGTCTATCTATTTGCGGGTGATAAATAATATTGATATTCAACTATGTATCCTACAAGCGAAAAAGCTCATTCCAAAAGATACTAGTAAAAACTTTATTCTCGATCACTAATAATAGAATATGGAATTCCATGTGGCTTCACTATATTCTTAACAAAAGTACGAGCAATACTTAGAAACAATATAAGAATATCGTATAGCACAAATGGGCATATTTTGTAAGATGATCCACAACCACAAAGATAATGGTTTTACCTAGAGATTGTGAAAGTACATCAATAAAATCTATGGATATGTCAGTCCAAGCATCATTAGTAATAGAAAGAGGCTAAAGTAAACAAGAGGTAGCAATTATCCTACCTTTGTGGAGCTAGTAAATATTGCATTCTATAACAAACTTTTTGATGATTTTCTAATACCCTTCCAATAAAAAAATTGACAGATGCGTTTATATGTACGAAAAAATCTAGAATGGCGTAGGTGATAAATAAAACTCTTTCAAAATTATGTTCTAATAAGAAGAATTTGGCACCAAGATAATTTTATCCTTGTGGCACAAATCTATGAGATCCCAACTATAATTAGGAATAGAAGTTGGATCTTTATCTAGCTTTTTAATAATGTCTTGAATTTCAGGATCATCCAACCATTCATTCCTAATATGTTCTAACATTTTACAAGTAGAAATAGAAATAGCATTTAGTTCAGCTTACTCTAGAAGGCGAGAAAGTGCATCTGTAACTAAATTCTCACTCCCCTTCTTATAAATAATCTTGTAGTCAAAACTCAATAGATTAGTGGCCCATTTTTGCTACTCTAAAGAAGAAATCATTTACTTAAGAAAATATTTTAGGCTTTTGTGATCAGTTTGTATTTGAAACCATCGACCAACTAAGTAAGGTCTCTGCTTAGTGATTGCATGAACAATGGCTAACATCTCCTTATAAAAAACAGAGAAACTCAAATAAGATGGGGAAAATGCCTTGCTAGTATAAACAACAATTGTATGGTCTTTTTGCTTTAATGTAACTACAATACTCGCTTCAAAAGTATTAGTTTAATCATGAAGAACTTGTTAAAATCCAATAAAATGAGAACAAGTATAGTAGTCATTATATACTTTAGAGAAATAAAAGCTTGAGTAGCTTCTTCTGTCCACTTAAATATATTTTTCTTAAAAAATGATGTCTAAGAAGTACTATTTTTACTATAATTCTTCGTAGCTTTAATTGAATTTGGAATTGGCTAAACTTTTATTGCTTAGATTTTGGAAGGTTCAACTGCAACACCCTTTCGAGAAACAACATGGCGAAGATACTCTATCTTAGATTACATAAAGCTATATGTTCTCACAATAAAAGGTAAAGACAACATACAAATATAATAAATAACTTTCTAAAGATAAACTCGAAAATCATAATAAATTTGCGAAGATTAACTCGAAAGATATTATTCATTAAACTTTGAAAAGTAGACTACACATTGATTAACTCAAAATTCATTACTAAAGATGC